TTTCATCTTATTTGCTGCTTATTCCATTTTTTAAAAACTTCGACTGTTAAATAAACAGAACACATTGAAAATAATGAAAATGTAACTTGGTAGATTTTTAACTGTAATCTTTTATTCTTGGGACTCTGTCTTTTTCAAACAGCTACTTTAGTAATTTGGCTACAGCAGACGACATTCAAATAAGACAAAACGCTATATTCTTTACTTTTTCTACTGCTACTGCACAAGTATCTTGTTTATCATCTAAGACATAAATGTTATTATATCTAATCTTCACTTTTATATGCCGTGTTCTTTCAGGATGTGGGCAATTATTGCTCTCCACAACTTCCTCTCATTTGTAAGTCTTTGCAACATTTGGCTCTCTTCCTGTTCTGTCATCCATTTACATAAGATCATTACTCGCTGTTTCCATCTGCCCCTCTTCAGTATGTCCTATGAGTGTCAGATTTTCCAAGCTGTCTTTCTTCATTGTGTCATAGTAATTTCAGCTATATCTTAAAAACTCTAAGTGTCCATTTTGTTTCTATTTTCCTTAAAACTTCATCGTGGCCTACCTTCTGTCTATATTTTCAACATCCTTCTGTAGAACCACATTTATATTACGTCGAGTGTTCCCTTCATCTGTGTGGAAATTATCCAGAATTCACTGGACGTTTGATAATATATAGAGGTTCAACACTGTTTTTAAGGATGTTTTTTTTCTGTTTTTAATTATTTTGCTGTGATTTTTGAAAACATGTTTTGCTATTCAACTGCACTTTCTGATTTTGCATTACGCAGTATAAATGATGTGCAAAATATGTCGTAGTTTTGGTTGAAATTTATCTATAAATTTCTCACACTCAATACCAATGATAGTAATATATTTATTACTGTAAAAAATACAATAATTGTTGCACAAGGCTAAAGGTGAAGTGGGGAAAGGCTAGTCTTCGCTATCCTACTCCTAATTAATCACAATCACGACCCATTTATTCATTTGCCACAAGAACCCATCCCTCACCAATCAATTCCGCCTATACCACAATGCCACACATTCACAGGGGACCTAAAAAACACGCCATAGTATAAAAATCTCATGAAAGTTTATAATGTCTAATAACAAAATTATAAAATTTTCACGACATGGTTATTTTCTAAGCGTAGCGTTGATGTGGCACAAGGCCGAAAATATGGAGCACCTAGTGAGGGTTGAACTCACTTTTCAGTCGTAAATGATCTAGCGAGATAAGCTTGCTAACCATTACACCACATCGAGGTGCCCAAAATGCCAGTAATAAGAATATTGCTTTTTCCTTGATTTTTCTTTTTTTATTGCTTGCATTTGATGTGTTCTTTGCTTTTATACGGCACTATTTTGCCTCGTTTACATTAAACTTCCGTTTCATAACAATAATATTTGAAGAGAATCTTCTATTCGCGTTAGAGCTGGACATAGCAATTAGTTTAAAATAAATAAAAAAAATATCCCTATTTTTAGTAAACGAAATGCATTCCTTTTTTTTAAATCTACGTTGTTTTTTTGTTTTTTTTTTAAAGAATATTTACACATCAATAATATTTTAGCTATGCAAATTTTAATTTATTGATATTTAAAGATTAATTTGCGTTTTAACCACTCCGTTTAAACATAACTACTCGAAAACTAAATATACTCTAATAGAAATTTTCAAGAAAAGTCAGTGATTGCATTAAGAATAAAATGTGCTTAGAATTTTTATCAATTTTGTAAATGAAATGTTCTCGAACGTCTTTTAAGCGCGCCCACTCTGATGAAAGGTTTAGATGGGCGAGAAAAAAAAGACAATTATTTCTCTTAGTATATGCAACGTATTTAGTTGTTTTGGATAGTAATTAATGGCAACATAATTTCTGGGCCCTGAAATATTTTTATTTCTTGAACGCTCGGTAGCTGAGAGCAATAAAACTATGTCAGCGGGTAACTTGTAATGCCAGCATTATAAATCCACTTTCGTATTTTAACATACAAGAAAATGGAGTTTTATACGATTTGCGAGCTAGTTGTGATGAAAAAAAATACATTCATGTTTTGTTTTTTGTTTTTTTTTGTTTTTTGTATGTGTCAAATTAGTTTATTATGTGAGAAAACATTTCAACTTATCGCATAAAGCAAAACTCGTCAATCAAAATGACAGCTTCTTATAGGCATTCTTTTAATCTGACATTGAACAGGTTTTATTTCATCTCATAGTGCGCTCAACAAGACATGAATATAGATTTCCTGCAGTTTTTATCATGAAAGATAAACAGAAAAAAAGAGATAGTGTTTCGATGCTTATAAACTCTTAAAAAAGTTATGGGATGAACAATCAATGAAACTTTTTAAATACAGCGAATTTTCTAGCAGATTTTTTTTTATTAACCTAAATGATTAAAATCCTTCAATTAGCTAACTTAGATGCCAGAAAACTTTAAAAATGAAAATATCACAATTACAAAAATCATAAACTTTCCTATTTAGGTCGTTCTCCTTTTTAAGCCATTTAAAAATCGATTGATTTTATGCTGATTTTCTAAGTATAGCTTAGATAAGGCACAAGGCCAAATGGATGGGGGACCCAGAGATGATCGAACTCATATATAATTAGTTATAATTCTTCTAGCGAGACAAGCATGCTGATTATTACACCACGTTGAAGTGCCATAAGGATTTTCTAAGCGTAACTTAGTTATGGTACAACGCAAGAAAGTGTAAGACGCCCAGTGTAATTATTCTAGCGAATCAAGTTTGTTAACCATTACACCACTTCCAATTGTCCATCTAGGTTGATTTTAGGTTTTGCAAGAATAAACAGCATAACAATTTGTTAATCATTTGGTTGATGCTTTACATCTAAGGTACAAACCAATAGTCACTCTTCTGTGGCTCTGGCATGTTACTAGTCCTTCCAGTACTAATGTTCGTTAAGTCAGTCTTTCATTTTGAAATAATGGAACAAAAATATTTTTGTTTAATTTTCCATAATTTGTATTTTAGGATTAATATCAGAAAATATATCTTTTCTTTTATACAGAACAGAAAGTATTACCATATATGCTAAATTTATTATAGAATGTTTCATAAGACAAAGAATGAGGCTTTTGACTAATTTCAGTGTTCATATCTAATATAGAAATTTCAAAATGGATGAAACTTTTGCAAATGAACAACGAAATAAATCTAGGGGTCTATCCATCTAATTTTAAACGCTGTAACCTACTCAAATTTCCGACATTGTTAGCAGTTTTATACGTGCATTAACATTAATGCAGATATTTTGGCTTAATTCTTGATGATGCGTAGATCATTAAAATTGATAACTGCTTCATTTGGTTTCTCTGTTCACACTGTTTGAATTAAAACTGGTTTACATCGTTGTTGAGCTTAAATAGTTTCATCTGTTGTTTAATCTGGTGATCAAAATGGAAAACACATGCCTCCATCTTCGTCTTTTTGTCTATAGGTAATCTAACCTCTGTTTTTCTTATCAGCGTAGGATACAAAGAATTTTTTCCAAATTTAATCCATCTGCAAATAAGTCACACACACATATATATATATAGAGATAGAGAGAGAGAGAAAAAAAATAAGATATTCACATTGCCTTACATGGAAAGTGAACATGATTTTTTCACTGCTGTCTCTCATATATATTTTTATATATATAATTTGTCTATTTGAGCAGAAAATCCTCTTTTTATACAAGTTACGTTAAAAAATGACTGACAAGCTACTGCGGTTAATTTTTTTATTATTTCACTTTTCTTTTCTGGGCATAAATTATGTAAAAACTATCAGAATGCACTGCATGGCCGAGCGCTTTCGGCTATTCTTTCAGCCATTGTCAACGATGATTTTATTTTTAGCTTTAATAACATTTTTCAATAACATCAACTATGAACACGGCCACAATGTGCTATGTTTGAAGAATAAAAACATTCTTATAACTCCAGATGCATCCATACATGTATCCAAAATATCCTTATATTCAGTTAAAATTAAAAATAAAATTATCCTTTATAATGGCTAAAAGAATAACCGAAAGCGCTTAGACATGTAGAACTTTCGGACAATTTCTAAAAATGTCCAAAAAACAAAATAAATATATAAGAACACAAGAAAAATTGAATAAAAAAATTGTAGCCAGCCGTTTTTAACGAAACTTATGTGTGTGTGTGTGTGTATATATATATATATATATATATATATATATATATATATATATATATATATATATACACACACACACAAAATTCCCAAGAGGGTAGAATCCAGGTAGTACTCAATGTTCAGGACAGAGTAAGAATTTGTAGGTCTGATGAATTGGATCGTGATTACGATTCCAATGTAATAAATTATAACCATGGAATATTAGTGTTTGAGCCTTATATATATATATATATATATATATATATATATATAAGACCAACCTATTATTACATTTTCCCCATCACAAAAAACGCTTTGATGGTGGAAACGTTCTCTAATGAGAACTAGATTCACGTGTTCGTTGAAGCTTTTTCATATCGGAACCTGCGAAATTTTACTTAGACGGAATCGAAGATCTGCCTTAGAAGTGACAATGTCATTGCAAATAAAGGTGAATATGTAAATGAATAAAATGTAATTGTATTTTGTCTTTAAAGAACAAACTTGATAAACGGAAATTTTTTGACTCGAACAAATACATACATAGACATCAACTGCCTTTTTTTTTTTTTTTTTTTTTTTTTTTTTCGAAAAAGTAACGAGTAGAAAAAAAGAGGCAGTGAAGGTAGAGTAAGTAAGCAAGCTTGAGAAAAATGAAAATATGTGAAATGAAATTGGAAAAGAAAAATTTTAGCCTGATAGACTTGGTTTGTTTTGTTGTAATACTTTATCCCATTCTATGTTCTAAAGTGAAATGAGACCCTTTTTCTTTCTGAGCATGACTCAGACATTAGGTAGAAAGGAAAGTAAGTGTTGTGAATAAGAAAAACTTGCTTGTTTACAAGACTTACGGCCATATCACGTTGAAACACCGTTTACCGTACGATCACCGAAATTAAGCAACATCGAGCCTGGTCAGTACGTTGATGGGTGACCGCTTGCTGCAAACTTGGATGTGCAATTGGCCTAATGGATAATAGCTCGGAATTGTTAATTCCAGTTGTGTTCGCTATATTCACATACGCGCAAATACCCTTGGGGGTGGGGAGATAGGAATCCACATTATCTCCCCCAGTTATGTGTTTATTAATAAGATTTGTATCACTAAAACATTATCTCACAAAAAATTTTCACAATCTAAAATATTTTCTGGCTTTAAATAACCTTCAAAGGTTTGATAAACGAATCAACCGATCATTGCTTGTTTACAGAAGCTGAAAATAAATATTGCCGATATGTTCAAGATCATTTTTTTTTTTTTATTAATTTGGCAATGAAAAAAAAAACACTGCAAGTTCGATTAAGATTTCATACATTCAAAATATGGAGATAGCAAATAGAGAAATCTATATCAGCATATATCGTAAGCGACAAACGGATGGTTGAGTCCAATGATGACCGGAAAGATTTTGATCACCTCTTGCCACTAATAAACGGCTGACGCTTTGAACTCGATAAACGATAGGACGCAAAACAGATGATCACAAAGTAGATGGAAGTCGAGCACTGCATGGGTCACACGTGAATCAATATGACAATATTTTAAGCATCAGAGTTGACGTCTTTTACACCCCACGTACTCCAAACTGAACTGCTGTACTTGTAAATGGATGCTTCGAAAGTAATGCCACTTATTTATTTCCGGGGAATCTATAATAAATACAAGTACCATTAAGAAAATTGGATCGATAAAGTTTTCAGTGAATGCTTATTTTTCTATATAGTCACCAACACTGGTTAGGTATTTGTAGTAGAATACCTACGGACGATAAGACCAACATACAGTAGTAATTACTGTATGTTGGTCTGCAGTTGAAGGTTTATTTCCAGCTGAACTGGTCAAACTCTCTGCCTCCGGGCACATGAGGTTATGTCGAAGGGCAAAGTCTCGTCTCGTCTCGGAAAACAGCTACCCGGCTCCGTTTTAGACGGGGTCTACGGGTAATTTTTGGCTGAACCTACGGGCTCGGATACCCCCACCTTAAATTCGGCCTTGTGCCACATCTGACTGCGTAAGGCGGTCGGTAGATATCCTACAGGTGGAGATTCATTGTGGAATTCACTTAACTCACTTCTAGCAGTTGACTAATACTTCTATGCGCCGCTGACGAATCTTATGTGTGTTGTTCTTGTCCTAAGTATTATCGTTCATTACCAACCTTCGTGTGATTATTCTATTCAGTAATCTTCCCTATGTTACAACAGTATTTTTGAGTCGCTTTTGATTTTGCGCTTTATCAAGTGCAAAAACACGCATAACCTGTTTGGTTAAACTTATCGTTGTCGCTGCTGCTAAAAACTATTACCAACCGCCTAATTCTGTTAACACGCGTTGTTTGGATTCTATAAACAGTCATTAACCACCATGAATGCCAATGGATAAAAGAATCTTTGCGCATGAAGTAATTTAATGATGCACTTCTGCTTCATACACACTTTCTTGTCAAACGATATTTTGTCAGATTGCTATCTGTAACAAATCAAAAAAAAAGATTTCACGAATATTTAAACCGGTAGATGTAAATAAATAAATATGCTGTTTAATGATTAAAGAGAGCATCTTCTCAAGTGTGGGAAAAAAATTTAAAATATTTAATTAATATATAATTTCTTACATCATTATATTTTTGTTTGGGATGATATACCAGTTTTTTTTTTGGGGGTATTTTAACACTAGCAGCCATACCCAGCTGGTCGATCAGAAAAAGCGTTCAATTAGAATGCAGCAAAAACAACAATGTTTAGATGTAACCGAGTTTATCTTCTTCACTTACTTTAAAGTACTTTCATTAAGAACATTTTGAATTAATGCAGTTACTGAAATAACAGAAGTAGTCTGTATTTATTCAATCGAAGTTAGCCAAGGACATAAAGGGGCAAAACACTTCAGACCACAATTATTTTGGAGTCTTTGAAATGCATTTTGTCAGTGTGCTACCAGCGATGTAAAAGAGGACACATTTAAAAAGCAATTGTTAAGTTTGATGAAAACTGGTTGAAAGATCAACGAAAAATAAGAAAGAAACCAGAAGAAATCGCCATTTTTCGTTATTTACGTGGGTTTTCCTTATATGGGTGGACTCGATTATTAATTTAAATGACCGTGAAGCAATCAACTTATTGTTGGCTACAACTGAGTGAAGTTTGTATTAGATTGCTTGAGAATTAAGGGAGTTTTTAGTTTAAAATTGATTTTTCGTTTTTCGCGGTTTTTCGCTAAACGCAGTGACGTAGAAATAAAAATGAGGTATCGTTGAGCTTGTCATGATGTAAGAAACCTACATACCAAGTTTGAAGGAAAAAGTTGAATTTATCGATTTTTGATCAACTTTATCGATTATTTTTTTTAAATTATCGATTTTTTACGCCAAGAACGTATCTCTTACATTGTACAATGTATTGGCCAAGTTTGGTCAAAATCGGTTGGATGGATCTCAAGTGAAAAGGTATCACGCCGACAGACAGACATACAGACATCCTCTGTTATATATATATATATATATATATATAGATCGAAATTAATGTCAACTGCCCTAGAAATTGAAATCCCACAAAAAATGTGTTTCCCGTTAGGAAACACACACCTCATAAAACCCTCGATGTCTACGCCACTAGACTAAGAAAGCAGAGATGTCTTCTCAAACATTGTAGCCATTAAAATAATTCATATGAAATATAAATTTTTCCATTTAATTAGTTAAAATATGTGTGTCTATGCATGTGAAAGTTAATGAGATTTCATCAACACCTTCCTAGTTTTGACCTAAGAAAAAAAATACGCCTGCACATCAAAGTCTAAATTACTCTTCCTCAACACCAACGCAGAAAATAATCCAGTTGTATATTAATTTAATTTCTAGTCGCTGTATTCGCTTCTTTCCTGTCATTTTCAAAGCTGTTTATGTTATCATAAAATTAAAAAGAATATTGCTGCTATGAAATGTAGATCAAAGAATTTTATATTCCTTGATGGTTTATGCAACTCCAGATACAAGAGAAATAAACGAAAAATATAAAGGATGCTACTCTCACAGTAATTCCTAATTATTAGTAAGAAATATAAATATAATTGCAATTTATTTACTGGGAGTTGTTTATCATTATCAAAAGTAATGTTGTGTTTTTCCAAGTCCCCTTTATGGAGAAGTCAGATTTTGGCACAGAACAAAAAACCATTTCCTACACACTGTCAAATGTTATTATGCAAGCCAGTGTTTTCGTATTAACCAACTGATGTTGTTAAAAACTTCAGAATTTATTACTATGAGAAATATATCGAGTGACTTTCAGTCTATAATATCTATCTTTTAATAAAGCACTTTTTACTTTGTTGCCCCGTTTCGAAGGTGTGGATAAGAAATTTCCATTTACTGACAATAAATGACTATAAAGACACTGACAGTGATTTTTTTTTTTTTTTTTTTTTTCTTCATGGGTGACGCTATCATGATTTCGATCGGATACTCTGCAATACAGGCTAAGCTAAATGCCCTCACCCGAACACAATAAAATGACCTCACAAAACCGGTCGTATTATACGTTACCGGTCGTATATGGTTACCTTAGTTTGGGAATAGCACTAAATGCTAGTTAGTTCATTGCACAAAGGTTAAGGACTGACATTTTACGGTGTCTTCAAAACTTGTATATACGTCAATAGCAGGTAATGTCAGTTTCACGAAGACGTATAAGTACGTCCCCAGCAGCGAAAGTGTTAAAATACGGTGTTGTAATTACAGATTCGTCAGTCTTATAAAACGTTTCAACTGTAAACGTACGGTGTTCACCGATCCAAGCCCTGATATTGATGGTATCTGAAAGAATGGTAAGACATTAGCTGGATGAAGACACCATTGTCACTTGCCTAAGTTTACTAGCACCACGCACGTGATAGTTTAAAATGTGAGAGGTATTTCTGCTGCACCATATATTTGATTAACTTAATATTGAAATAATTTGGTACACTATTTTATCGTGATTTAAAACGGATATTTTGAAAGTATAAGTATATAGATATAGGAAGATATAAGTATATAGGAAGATATATAAAACGAGTAGGGAGAGGAAGGATAAGAAAAAATATATATTCAAGAAAGGGATGATTTTTTTTATTTATTAATCTGGCAGATTGTTATTGCTTAAATGTTATTTTTAATAGATACACACATTTGAATAGACGATCCGTTTATTTATTAAACGATATATTTATTTATTTTCGCATTTCGGCCTTGAATATTCGAAAAATCTTATTAGCGAAAAATATGCCCTCTCTGACAGGATTCGAACCGTCATTAGATCTAATGATTTGACTTCTCGGTTACAGAGTACGTCGATGAGCAAACAAAGCTGAATAGTGCCTTCAAACAAAGATTCTTTGAATCATATATATATATATATATATATATATAGCTTTGGCAAAATGAAAAACGTCCTTATCTGCTATAAAGAGAATTCTTGTATTTTACCAACTGAAGGTTTCAGCTACATGAAAAAAGGGATCTGCTAGCGAAATTGACATCCACTCCAAATACGCTGTTCTTCATATGAGAAAACAACACCTGCAGAAGCTACCACAAGTGTTCATAATTGATAACAATAGTTTCAGAAGCTGGAATAACCTCAACTAAAAATATATATCCGAATATAATGAGAACAAAAATAATATATAAATTCTAACGTTCACAGCATTAATTCAAAAGAAAGCTCAATATTGATAGTATTGATAGCATAGCAATAATCATTTATTATAATTTTTCATATAAACAAAAACAATTTACTCACTACAAAGATGCGAACTCGTTTCGGTGCATTTAGTTGCACCTCGACAGGTGAGAACTAATAACATTTTTTTCTTTTCTATTCCTCCTCCTTTGTTTTATATATTTTTGTACATATTTATATAAATGTCGATTTTTGAAGCCTTAACTCAGTATTTCATATG